GAGGACATCGGTGGAATAGAAAGAAAAGAAAAAAAAAAAGCATGCCTTTCAACACATTCCACAGTCAGCTCCCACTCTGGCTGCTAATGAGACAACAAGCAAAATACCTGGAGAGAAGGGAACAAGACTTTTTCCCTGCCCTTTTACCTTGGTTGGCCAAGTCCTCACCACCCAACACCATGGCTACAATGCTGACTTTATTTTCAAGAAACAGAACAAGAAGTTTCCAAAGTTCTATAACTAGAACTAGTTCTGTCACTTAGAAAGTTCTGGGTGCTGGCGTTGTGGTATGTTAAGATTCCACCTGTAGTTCCAGCATCCCATATGGGTGCCAGTTCATGTCCCAGCTGCTCCACTTCCAATCCAGCTTCCTGCTGATGACCTGGGAAAGCAGCAGAAGTTGGCCCAAATTCTTGGGCCCCTGCACACGCATTGGAGACCTGGAAGAAGCTCCTGGCTCCTGGTTTTGGATTAGCCCAGCTCCAGCCATTGCAGCCATCTGGGGAGTGAACCAGTTGATGGAAGACCTCTCTCTGTCTCTCCATCTCTCTCTCTATAACTCTACCTCCCAAATAAATAAATCTTTTAAAAAGAAAAAAAAGTTATATAACTTAGAAATGTCTGCAGATAAATGACTTCAAAAGACTTTATAATCCTATCCACTTAAACCCACCCCCCCCACACACAAACATACACATACACACACAGGCACACACGGTTACACACGCATACACACATGCACCCCAAATATGGGAAACTCTTTAGCACTCACCCAGTTCATTCATTTTCCAGCTAAGCAGTGAATTCAGAGAATCTCTGACTTTCCCAGGATAAGTGACTCATGCGACAAGTCCCCTGGCTCCTCCTCTATAAAGTCAAACCACAGTGAGCCTCCATGGCCTCACATGAATGACAGACAGTAGTGATGACTGCAAACATAAATAACAGGAATGGAGGAAAATGTTGAGATCAGAACAGTGTTGCTTCAGGTATGCCCTGCTGACCCTGTACTGGCTTTGGGACAAGGGGGCATCCTGCATCCAGCACACCTCTGGAGAGGTGGCACATTAGAGCTGTAGACATAAGAAGAGAAAAGTTGGTCCTTGATTTTCAGCTTCAAAGCAGACTTCTGAATTTTATGAGAAATATTGTAATTTAGTAGCAAAGAATTTGGAGTTTCAAAAATCAAGGATTTCAGGCATGAACGCTAGTTTAGTAAGTGATCAGTCCTCCCTGCCACCTCCCTTCCCAGAGACGAGATAAAGTTTGGCTGGACCAGGGCAATTTGAGAGAGAGTTAGCAAGAAAGTGAAGAAGGTCCCAGCACTGACCAGTGCCCTGATCAGAAGCTACGTAGCTTTCCCACCCTCAGACCTGGCAGGGCATCCCTGTTAGAAAAATCTCTGTTCAAACAGTATCAGTATCCTTATCCTTGGGAAGGGGACACACCAGGTCTGCTGAATGCCCCAAGCATCAGCTGGATTCCTATCAAATGACCTTAAAGGGCCGAGAGATCCAGAAGTAGAATCCCTTAGGTGAGAAGTTGATGACTGAGAATCCTACAAAGGATGCCTAGGAGGGCAAATGGTGATCAGGGCTAAATTAACCCACCGTCCCATACTGACCCCCTCTCCAATCATGTGGCTCTCTGTAAGGGCAAGAACTCTGCTTCAGCCCCACATAAAAATAAGTTCTGGATTTTGTGGTCACTCTGTGTGGCCTGGGGGTTAGAACAGGAATGAGGTTCATCTGAAGGAAAACAGCTACATCTGTGTAAATCAGAGTTGCTGGCTGTGTCACCTTGAGCAAAGGGTCTTGCATAGGATCTAGCCCAGAGCACATGCCCAGTAAGGAGCAGTTCCTTTTATAAGATGTTGAAGTGACCCTGACCTTCCCACAACTCGCAGCTCCCAGTTTAGCTATTGCTGGTGACAATGACAAAAGATTTAATCATAGAATCTTTGCCCAGGAGGGAACTTTCCAGGTCAGCTCTCTCAATTTAGAGTTTGGGAACTGAGACCCAGGAGGGGAGAGAGCACTCCAGACTCAGCGAGGTAGCCGCAGATAGGGCGGGAATCCAGCTCCTGTAAATTCATGCCATGTCTTCTATTTTCCAGGAAGGTTCCCAGGGAGCAAAGCTGAAGATGACCTTGCAAATCAGCCATGATTTAAGTTGTTGAAGACAAAGGGATAAGAGGCAGTTAATTAGTGTGAAGAGCTAATCAAGAGGCTATGGCCCCAAGGGGAATCCTATTACTCTGGATGTGCTGAGAATGAATGACAGTGACATAGTAACTTTACTTGCTCTAATTCCCCAGGTCCCCAAAGGCCCAACTCCTGAAATACGGCTTCATGTAGGGACTCCTTCATCAAGTATTTCCATTGGATTCCCGGTGTCTAGAAACTGAAGTACAACGGCTTTGGTAGAGCATTCAAGACCCTCTCCAATTTGGTCTCAATATACTTTCCTGGCCTCAACGTTCACCCTAACCTTCCAGGAAACCGCCTCTTCCTTCCCTTGGCACGATAATGTTTAACCTCCAACCTCTTCAACCTGAATCCCTAATTCTCTGTGCTTCCATCCTCTTGCATGCATCAGAATTTAACATATGGTGGGGACCGGCACTGTGGTGCAGTGGGGTAAAGCCCTGGCCTGAAGCGCCAGCATCCCATATGGGTGCCTGTTCTAGTCCCGGCTGCTCCTCTTCCTCTGCTGTGGCCTGGGATAGCAGTGGAAGATGGCCCAAGTCCTTCGGCCCTGCACCCACCTGGGAGAACCAGAAGTTCCTGGCTCCTGGCTTTGGATCGGCTGTTGCAGCCATCTGGGCAGTGAACCAGCAGACGGAAGACCTCTCTCTCTCTCTGTCTCTACCTCTGTGTGTGTGTAACTCTGTCTTTCAAATAAATAAAATAAATCTTTTAAAAAAATCATTCAACATATGGTAAGACACAGCGGAGATGGCACTTTTCCTTGATGGCCCAGGACAAAATAAATCCCTGTGCATCTACAGCACACAACTAAAGGAATAGTTTAGCAGAGCAAGAGAAAGGTTATATCACAGGAGTGTAAGCCACCTGCTAGTTATGCGATCCTGGACAAATGTCCTACCACTCGATGAACTTTCAGTTTCCAAGATGAGACCTTACTGTAGTCACCTCTAAGAACGAGTGACTTGTGGGGCCGGCGCTGTGGCGCAGCGGGTTAACACCCGGGCCTGAAGTGCTTGCATCCCATATGGGCGCCAGTTCGAGACCTGGCTGTTCCACTTCCCATCTAGCTCTCTGCTATGGTCTAGGAAAGCAGTAGAAGATGGCCCAAGTGCTTGGAACCCTGCACCCACGTGGGAGACCCAGAAGAAGCTCCTGGCTCCTGGCTTCGGATGGATGCAGCTCCAGCCATTGTGGCTAATTGGGGAGTGAACCATCGGATGGAAGATTCTCTCTCTCTCTCTCTCTCTCTCTCTCTCTCTCTCTCTGCCGCTCCTCTCTCTGTGTAACTCTTTCAAATAAATAAATAAATCTTTAAAAAAAAGAATGAGTAACTTGCATGATGCATAATACCTATAACACGTTTAGGACAACAACTGGCACTTGTTGTATTCTATCCACTCCAATACAGCTAGATTCTCATCTCATGTCATAATTTTAGCCCATTTCCCCCTTTTCTGTATTATGTAGCTTCCATAAGGATCATATATATGTATTATTCATTCACACATTCAGAAATCAGTTATTCAGCATCAAGGCACGGTAGACATTCTTTTAAGCACTGGAGATAATGAGCTGAACAAAAACCATGGCTCCCATTCTCAAAGATTGTACATTCTATTTGGAGAGCAAAATATGTAGATAGGTTTCTCTTCAATATCTTTTAAGACTTTAGCACCAGGCTCTTTACAAAATGAGTACTGACATTTTTAAAGTCTATCCTTAAGTATCTTCTCTGTCAGTATTAACCATCAGACTAAGCATTTCTGTGCATTATTTCAGTGAATATTTACAACTCCTCAGTGCTCTCCTTTATATTAGCAAATGAGAGCTCTGTTGGATTAACAGATTGTTCCAGGATCTATAGTTAGAAGGCATTCAAGCTTAGGAATGCCTAGTCCCAATTCCTTTCCTTTCCACTAGACTTAGGGTCTCTAATCAGAGGATATTTAGTCATTTTCTCAAGAGTATAAAGGATTAAATCATGTTAAAAACAGGTAGGAGAGCAATGGTTTGTTTTACTGATAAAGATGCTGGTTAGGATGCCCACATCCCACATCAGACCGCCTGGGCCTGACCTCTGGCTCCAGGTCCTGATCCCAGCTTCCTGCTAACACAGCTCCTGGGAAGCAGCAGTGACGTCTGAAATAGCTGGGTTGTGCTCACCAATGTGGGAGCCCGGACTGAGTTCTTGGCTCCCAGCTTCAGCCCAGCCCAGTCTCAGCCACTGCAGACATTTGTATATTGAACAAGTTGATAGGAGTTGCCTTTCCCTCTGTCTCTCTACCTCTTAAAATAATTCTAAAAAGTGGTATCCATGGGGAGGGCTTTCAGGATTCCATTTGGGGCTACAAACTGAGAGACCATGGCAGTTTTGAACCATACATAACATTGAATTTTATAAATATTATTTCTCAGGTGGTTTTTCAAAGCACACTCGCAACACATTGTGGTGTTCAATTAAGCATAACCCATTCCATTGTTTGGTCTCTCACTTCATTGGTCACGAGTACATCCCAAAGCCATTGCTGGGCCAAACATTAAGTCATCATTATCCTCTACTTAATTTCAAAATTATAGATGCCAAGTATCACTATTAATAATAGGAGTTGGCCTTGAGTGAGTTTCCAGCAACCGTCCCGAACATTTCACACACACAGACACACCTGATTTTACAATCACTTTGAGCTGGGTGAGATTACCCCTATGTTACAGTTGAAAAAGTCTTAGTACAGGACTAGTTCCCAAAGCACACGCTTTTTTAGGTATCACAGTTCAGACATAAACACTTACTTGGAAACAGCAAGTGCAGTCTGGTGAAAAGATAAATAGCATTGTGTGCAAGGCTCCTCACCATAAGATGTGGCTGTGGAGTCAATGGGGCAGAGCCTTCTCATACTCTGAAGGCCACTCAGGCCACTTCTAGGCCTCAGAGGCGCCCCCTACAGGGACGGTGTCAGAATGCCCATTGTTCAGAACGGCTGCACTCATTGGTTTACCTGCACATTCCATCTGGAAAGGTTCTGGCATAACGGAGAAGGAAGAGTGAACAAGCCTCACTCACACACTGCAGAGCAGACCTGACACAGCCCCAGCACAGGCAGGCTTGGCTTTCCATTCTGGCTTCAACTTGTTCTTAATGGGGCTTTGAGCTTTCTCTTCTGCGCTTCGGTGAACCTACTGGTTAGACACTATCCTAAGAGTGGGAAGCCACACAAAGGAATGAGGCTCCACTTATACCAACAAGTTCACAAGAACTGGAGAATATCAGCATAATATGCTAAAAGCACAGCAAGGAGGAAGCCTACACTTCAAATTATACATCAAGACACTTTATCAAAAGACCAATAATCAGGAAAAGATGCCCTACCTAATTTATAACTGGGTAAATGCAAATTATAATCACAAAATGATGCCACTCACACTAGCCAGAGTCGCTAAAATGAAGCAGAAAGACAATATCACAATCTGTGGATGCAAAATAACAAACTTTTGTATACTAATGAAGCAAATGAAAGCTGATACAACCACGTTGGAAAATTAGTGGTATCTACTAAAATTAAACATACAAATATTCAATTATTTTTTGTTAATACACCCAAAAGAAATATATATGTTTATACATTAAAATATATGTATAAAAATGTTATCAGGAGCTGGCACTGTGGCACAGCAGGTTAAAGACCCGGCTTGCAGCTCCGGCATCCTATATGGGCACTGGTTTGAGACCTGGCTGCTCCATTTCCAATCTAGCTCCCTGCTAATGCACCTGGGAAAGCAACAAAGGATGGGCCAAGTCCTTGGGCCCTGCACCCACATGGGAGACCTGGAAGAAACTGCCGGCTCCCGACTTCAAATCAGTGCAGCTCCAGCCATTGTGGCTATTTGGGGAGTGAACCAGCAGATGGAACACCTCTCTCTCTGTCTATCTCTACCTCTCTCTGTAACTCTGTCTTTCAAATAAATAAAATATTTTTTAAAATATTATAAATTTCAATATGCTGGTAATCGCACAAATCCCATTATAGTGGGTAAATGAATTGTGGTATATTTATATTTGGGAACACTGAAAGGCAAAGAAAATGAGATACTACTTCATATAGCAATATGCATGAATTGCATAATAAGGGAATGAATTGCATAAGTGTGAGGAAAAGAAGCCAGACACAAAAGAATACATACTGTCTGATGCCTTTTGCATAAATCTGCTCAACGTAAGCTAAAACTAACCCATGGTGGCATAAGTCCAGACAGTACCCAGCTTTGGAGGAGGGAAGAAGGACGCAGGACTAGAAAGGGACTCTCTGGGGCGAATGGATATTCTCTTTCTTAATCAAGATTATACACGCATTTATGTATTTTACAATGTAGATGTATATTGCCATAGAAAATATCAAAAGTGTCTTCCAAGGCACAAATATTTTGAGAAATACTTTTAACTTGATTTCTCCAAAATCCCTGTTTTATACAGAAACAAAACCTAGATTGCAAGGGTACAAGTTTAATTTCCTGAGCCTTGACATATGAATCATGAATTATGATTTATCTACCTTCACAAAGTAGATGTCAGAATCAAGTTGGGAAACGTATTCTGTACCAACTTACCAGCACAATAAATGCTTGTGGTGAGGCAGTGAGGGACTGATAGAATGAGTGAGGCCTATCAAAGCCATTCCATAGTTTGGAAAACTATGCAAATATCTATTAAAATTAGATTAATATATTCCTATAACTATGCTAGCCTAATCTTACAATGCACCATGTTGAAAAACATGCTATAACATTTCTTGACCAATTCCTGTATTTTGGTGTAGATCATCTTCCATTCTCCTGATGCACCCCTTTCATTCTCCCCATCACAACCACCCTACGCAGTCCCTACACATCCTTTGTGTTTCCACTCCTGCTCTCAGCCCAGATAGTACCACCTGCTTGGACCCACCAGCCCGTCCAAATAGACACATCTTCTCAGAGCGCAAGCCACTTTCATCCTCCTCAAAGTCTTCTTGCTCATTTTAATCCCCATGATACTTTTTGTTACTTTTCCGACTATAATAACAGAACCACAACAACAGACTTTCATTTGTTGGATGCCAACACTAGTCAACCTTGGGGATAAATGCTTCACGTTAACTTGTATTCCACCGTGCCTGAAGCAATACTGATACACCATGGATTTTAATAGGAAAATTAATAGACAGATTAGCAACAACTGTAAAAATCAGGCAGTATCATCCCATTTTTAAAATAAGAAGACAAAGGCTCCATTTGACTAACCAGACACAATGAAGAAACAAATGTGTTGGGATTCAAAACCAGGGCTGACTGACCACAGTGCTGAATTTGTGTCCCAAACTTCCTTAGCTTGCCATTGGTCACTGCAACTAGGAACTTCTGCTGTGGTTGATCAGGCTTCAGTCTGATTCTGCCTGTAACAACAGTGTGACTTGTCCATTCCTAGATGTGGGAGTAGATACAGAGTTCTAGTACTCTATTCCAGTACACAGGCCATCACGTCACATCTTGTATACCAGAGGAATCACCGAAGTGCAGCCACAGGTCTGCACACTATCATCTGTAGCAGCCCAAGGCCCTAACTGAGTTGTCTCATCTGAGCCTGAGAGGACAGAAAGTATTCTTGCCAATTAGTAGGTGTGTAAACTGTGGTTCAGAGGTCAAAAAGGTACTCACAGCTAACAGTGGCAGGAATTGGTCTTTAAGTCTGCTACTTCTTAATACTTTTTTTTTTTTGGCCAGGTTCATCTATCACAAAACCCACCTCCTTAAAAATCCAGATGTCCCTGTGTCTCAGTATGGACACCTGCTAATTTCCTTACAAAAGGTTAATGAGCTCACATTTTCCTTTTCAACTGCTGTTACTTTTAGACTTACTTTTGTTCATACTCTTTTGGACGCAGATTTCCAATCGTCCCTCACAACAGAATCCAAATACCTCACCCTCGGGGATGTCTCGCAGACCTGTGGTTCCTGTTGCATTCGGTAAACTGCTCCCAGCCCGCTGTGTAGGAGGCAGGGCCCAGGCCTTGCAGTTTCAATTGGAAAGAAAAAAAAAAAAAAAAAAAAAAAAAAAAAAAAAAAAAAAAACCCACACTCGCTGTTCTTCCAGGGCTTACATTCAGCCAGGGGGTCTCATACACATGGTTTCCAAATGCAATTTTCCAACTGTGGTAAGTGACAGGAACAAAAAGTACCAAGAGCTTTGAAAGCCTGTACCAGGGCACTGGATCTGGCTTTGGAGGTCAGGGATGGCATCCTAGTCCTCAGGCGGAGCTAATTAACCTGGCACGATCTGCACCCCTGTGTTATTCTGTAACTTAGTTTCTTGTACTCTACAAGTAGCACAAGGACAGGATCATGTCTAACTCACACTGTGATCCCATGCCCCAGAAAAGTTGCAGAACATGTTACAGGCGGTGAATAGACCCCTCTTGAATCGACTTCTATTACCATCTCCAGTGTTCCTTCTTTCCTACGTCTGCCACTGTTGACAGAGGGAACCATGGAAGGTGTCAGTGTGAATGCAAGCCCTGTGCGATGCATGATTTTAACTGCACTTGTTTGCACCGACAAGAACACAACAATTTGTTGGTGACAAAAGAAATGAGAAAGCTGCCTAACTCCAACTCCTTCTCTGAAATGCTAATTCACTCTCAAGTCTCTCTCCAGTTCCTTTATAGCAATGTTACAAGCTTGCAGTAGGCAGCTTTCTGTTAATGACTGTTTGCAAATCGAATTTGCTGATTGTGTTTTGTATTAGGCCTGGCTAAGAAACTGGTGTACAAGTTAGGCTGCAGAGGCAGAGACGCCACTGGCCATTTCAGATTGGAGATCAGAAAAGCTCCCTTGGCAGGGTAAAGATTTGCTCTTAGGAACCTTAAAAATTAGAGCTTGTTTGTTAGTTTTTAAGGCCCCTTTCAGAAATCTTACTTAATCACCACAATAGGCAGAGAAACTAACCAAGATCTAAGAAGATAAGTTACAGGTCTTACAACAAGCCAGGCACGAGGTCTGTGGCCCCAGATGTCTGGGTTTTTTTTTATGCAAGACTCCTACTACCCCCCAATTCCTTTAATAATGCATCAGAGGTATGAAATTCCAGCCAAAGTGACACTTTCTAGAAAAGAGCTCCATGGATTACAAATTTAGCAGAAAACTTTCACCCATCGTGGCATTCAATCCCTTTGCTGTCCTCCCAGCCCTCCTTTAGGCAGCCTCTCTGCCCTGAGCAGCCGCTCCTCCACTCTTTCAGAAGCACCTGCCCTTACTCCTGCTGTTTCCCACAGTAAACTAACAGTGACCATTGCCTATCAACCACTTGCTGTGGGCCACACCCAGGAAGACCTGGACACAGCTTTCTTCCAAAGCTCTGGGGAGCACCTAGAGACATTTTATCCATGAATATCTGTCCATGCATACCATCAGCCTGAAACTCAGTGGTCTGAACCAAGAACTATTTAGCTTGTTCCAAAATCTGTGAATCAGACATTTGAGCAGAACTCAGCCAGACGATTCCACATCCAGCCTGGGAGCTGCAGAGGGAATGTGCCTTCCTCAACACAGCCTCTCTCTCCAGCAAGGCAGTCAAGAGTTCAAGACGGCACTGGCCTCCCAGAGGGAACACCCACAATGTGAGGAAGGAGGCTGCAGCTCTCCCAAGGCCCAGCCTTCGAAGGTGAACAGCATCACTCTGACACGCTCCATTTTTGAAGCCAGGTGGCAGAGCTGGCTCAGATCTGAGGGGAAGGGGAAAAGATTTCACTTCATCCTGGGGGAATGATAAGGTCAACGTGCAAAAGTGCAGGTAGGACACGAGAGGCAGGATCACTCCGGACACCTTTGGAAATCTGCCACAATAGAATGGCTAGAGCCAGGTTCTTTGGAGTCAGACTGCTCAGCTCAGGCACCAGCTCTTTGTCCCTGGACAGGTGATGTTACCCGCCTGGACCTTGGATTCCTCATCTGTAAAACGAGGAAAACAGAAGCTGCCTCATAAGTTTTCTTAAGGGAGTAAAGAATGCACAAAGGGAGCCAAACACCATGCTCTGCCAAGAGTGAGGCTTCTATTATTACAGTGGCCGTGTAATTTATTATCCAAATTAGGACACATCTAAGAGTGAAAGGGGGAGGCAGATGCTTTGTGTAGTTTATGTAGGGAGCACCCAGGTACTTTAGGGTGTATATTCACTTCCAGCTGACATTATCACTAATCATTGTGCATGGGTAAAACTAAACTCAAGCTGAAAGGCAAACAGAGTGAGCAGCTTGCCTGAGTTCACTCACTCACACGCACACACTGAGGACAGGCCTCTTCTGTCGGAGGCAGGAGGAAACACACCCCTGCCACCATGGGTCTCGCATACTAAGGACAGAAAGAAAAAGTTGCTCAGCAAGAAGTGATTCATTTAATCTAGGTCGGAAGAAAATGGATCTTGGTGATGAGAAT